GTGAAGATGTGCACAGTCATCCAGGACCTTTTAATATAACTGGCCATAAAGTGGCCATAAAGGAGTGTCTAATATCCTAGGTAAAAAACACAGAATCTGAGGGAAAGAGTACCCAAAGTAATTTGTCAGGACTTCTTTAATAAAGACTGTGGTTTAAATTTGAATCCCTAAAAAAGAAATTAAGTGCAAAAACAAGATAGATGACCTAGCAATTCTTCATCTGAGTTGTTGTTTTGGTTTTGTTTTGTGTTGTTTTTGATCTAGTTACAAACCAAGTAATTTGCAGTGCACATCACATGTTTAGAAGTCAAGTGTCAATTTTTTTTTATTATTATTTTAGAACTCTTAACTATACAGGTATCAACATTTCTACCTGAATTTTTATGCTTTGTCATCTTATTTGTTTATTATTTTCTCAGTTTAGGTTTCACTTTTGATAGCTGACTTCACTTTACTTTTCCCTTTAAGTATATTGTTGTAGATTTAACATATAATTAGTTCATATTTTAAAGAGAAGATTTTAGAAGACTTTATTGTGGGATGATAAGTTTCTTGATTTCTCACTAAACTTCTCATAACTGTTAAGATAATGATAGAAAAACCTGATTAACCCAATAAACAACAGGGCATTTTGTGCTAAAACAGGAGCAGGTCACAATGTGTTGCTTTTGAGATGTTCTAGCCAACTTCATCCTAGTTGACAGATTCTATTTAACTGTGACTGCAAAAAATAAGCAATAAGTTACAGAGCACAGTATCTGACACGGGTGGAAAATAAAAATCTAAATACAATATAAATATAATATATAAATATAATATATATAAATTTATACATATATACCGTATGCATGAAATACCTATTCGTTCCCAAGAAATACCAATTTAGGCCCATGTCATATTAATCTGTTCCCTCGAAAAACTAATTTGTGTGCAAACTTGTTCTCAACGTGTAATTATTTGTGGCCACAATATATGATGTGCGCAAAATACTGAAACATAATCCTCCTCCAGTGCACCTTCAGTAACATTAAGAGGAACAAACCAATATGGTAGACACGATTGTCTGATTGACTTATATTTTAGACATAGGATAAACTATAAAGAGATACAGATTTCTCATTAGTGAGTCAGAATATTGACAACCAGGTGTGAATGATGAACAGACGTGCCGATTGTGCAGAGCTGTGCTGTAAAATAGCACCTGCTGATTTCCAATTGGTGCTTGTTTCGAACACTTAACATTTCAGCTCAAACTCCACTTGAAGGAGGAAAGGATGCAGATATGTGATCAGTGCAGAGTGGTTCAATTAAGCAGTAGTATTATTTGTATCCCAAAGGCCACTGCAGTGTGTAACAGTGTCCAGATATGATAACTCTATCGTAAAGATGCAGACAGGAGAAAAGAAAAGAGAAAGAACCTTCTCCTTTGAAATGAACAGCAGTAAAATGACATAACAAAAATACTAGGACCAATCGACTAAGATAAGTTGGATCCTCAAACACCACAGTGCGGCTTCTAGCTGGACCTGAGTTTCATCGAACCTCAAGTTCCATCTGCAGCGACACTTTGCGCACGCAGGGTTTGTTATTCTGCATTATTACGCATGATCCAGCTACTTTTAGTTGTATCAGTTTGTTTCTGTTCCTGTGGTCTTCTTACTGTTACAGTTTGTAACCTTCGTCTTCATCATTCACAGCAGCGATCTTTGGGACTGACCTGATCAGAGATAATTTCTCCTCTGTTAATTGCTTGTGCAGGGAGCCCCAAAGTGAATATTTACATGCTGAAGGCATTCTCATATTGTGTGAGCAGATGCTTTGTTTGTGGTCTGGATGGCTACATATAGACTCCCTTCTGCTCTGCATTAACCCACTAGCAATATGCTCTATGAGTGAAGCTTCTAGCTTCACCCCTTATAGCTCCGGGCCTCATTGGTTTCTGTAACTAAAAAGGATGATTTGGAAGTCGGTTCTCAAGTACCAGTAGTCTGTGTTTGCCACTCAGCAGGTGTTTGTGGAATAAATAATTAGTGCTGCGCTCATCAATCAGTGCTGCACTGCACTAAGGATGAAAGTAGAGGGAAAAATTCACGACTTTAGACTTCAAAGGGCATTTTGGGCCAAAATGTAAATGCTCTTGTAATGGACACATAAAACTTCAATTAAATCAAACTTCTCTGAAATCAAATTATCCACTTAGGAAACAGCACTGATTGACAATACATTTTCCATGCTGTTGTGCAAATGTAAAAGACAACAGGTGTGAATTATTGGCAATTAGCAAGACGCATTCAATGAAGGAGTGGTTCTGTAGGTAGGGACCCCGGACCACTTCATAGTGCCTATGCTTTCTGGCTGATGTTTGAATAATGGTGTTACTTTGACACTCGCAAATCAAACAAGTGGTTTCAGTAGTGCAGCTCATTCCAGGATGGCACATCAATGCGAGCTGTAGCAAGAAGGTTTGCTGTGTCTGTCAGTGTATTGTCCAGAGGCTGGATGCACTACCAAGAGACAGGCCAGTTCACCAGGAGAAGTGGAAGAGGCTGTAGGAAGACAACAACCTTGCAGACCACTATCTCTGCCTTTCTGCAAGTAGGAACAGGATTAGCAGTGCCAGAGCCCTGCAAAATGATCTCCAGAAGGCCTTCAAATTTGCATTTCTCTGCACAAATGCTTAGAAACCAACTCCATGAAGATTGTATGATGGCCCAACATCCACAGATTGGGTTTTTGCTGTCAACCCAATGCCCTGCAGCATGCGTGGCATTTCCCAGAAAACACCAGAATTGGCAAATTCATACTGGCCTATTTTGCTCTTCACAGATGAAAGCAGGTTCAAACTAAGTACCTGTGACAGACATGACAGAATCTGCTGACACCGTGGAGAGTGATCAAGTGCCTGCAACATCCTTCAGCATGACTGGTTTGACGGAGTGTCAGTAATGGTGTGGGGTGGCATTTCTTTGGAGGGCCGCACAGCCCTCAATGTGCTCATCAGAGGTAGCATGACTGCCAGTAGGTACCAAGATGAGATCCTCAGACCCCTTGGGAGACCCTATGCTGATGCAGTTGGCCCTGGGTTCCTCCAAATGCAGGACTGTTACGTCCCCAAGGTCTAGGGGTTCTGTGGAGGTAACATAAAAATGTGTCCAGAGCAAATAATTGGAATGTAAAATGATTTATTACAAAAGATGGTTTAACAGACCCAAACACAATACAGCCTAACCCAATTAAAACAAAAGGGCAAACAAATTCAAGAATGGTGAAGTGCAAATTAAATTACAAACTGTCCAAACCAGTCAGTCTAAATTTAACTCAAAAGAACCCAAAAGAAAAGACAAAGGAAGCACCAAACCTCCCGAACACAAGCTTCTAGCTTGAACAAGTCCACCTAAAGCCGATTCAGAAAATTATACAAGCTAGGTCAAAGTGTTCTAACTGCCCAAAACAGTTTGAAACCAAAGGTGAGGCAACAGCTTAACAAAAACCTTCTTCCTACTAGCTGTCCCCCAAACTGAAAGCTTTCCAGGAGCTTTTATATGGTGCAGGTGGGCCTCATCCACATCCTGATTGGCTTGACAATCTTCTGCTGGTCCAATCATGTCACTTCTCCTCTGCAGCCTTCAGGCAGCCAACAAGGAAGATTTCTGTTAGAGCTGAACCTGCATGAGAAAACAAGCCTGCACAGTCTTAAAAGGCCAGGGGCCGTAACAAGGACAATGCTAGACTTCTAGGCTGGAGTGTGTAAGCAGTTTCTGCAAGATGGAGGCATAGCTATGGACTGTCCTTCTATTCCTTCTATCAAAGTCAGTCACCAAACACAGTTTTCCAACACATAGTGAGTAATATAATTTTGCATTACTAATATGAGAGGGTGGAAACTGGCTGATAGCAGGACACAAAAATTAAGAGTTCCTAAAAAGATGAGAGTGTAGACTTTCTGGTAAATCCCGTTCTAATGTAAAATATGACAGATTAATGGATTAAGGACATTTCTAGTATACGACATGCTATCGCACATAACAATTTTTTTTAAAATCCGGAAACAGTTGCTCTTTATTTCCCAATGATATGGGAGGAGGAGAGGAGAAAATGGATATTTCAACTGCCTGAAATAATCTGTTTCCCCTCCATAACATGGGAAGAAATTAATTCACCTCAACAAACCGTGTGAATATGGTAACATTTGATCATTATTATTTGCCAGAGTAAGGAGAGGGGAATCATATACTTTAGCCACCTGATATAATCCGTTCCCCCTTTGATGATCTTTATGAAATGTATTTTCTATTTAAATGTTTATCTAACAATTTACAAATAGTCCAAAAAAAGTTCAAACCAAATGTCTGGAGCAAAGCTACTCCAGACATTTTGAATTGAGAATTGAAAATACATTTCATAAAGATCATCAAACCGACAGTCATATTTATTTGAGCTATTTTGGATTTAGAAAATATAAAATAATAAATGTTTTAAACATAATATAGAAAAAAAAAACAGTTTCAAAATTCACAGGATTTGTTTATTTTTTCCCATGTAATGGGGGGAACAGATTATATCAGGTGGTTAAAATATATGGTTCCCCCCTCATAACATTTGCAAAAATGATCAAACGTCCCAAAATCCAAATAGTTTGTTGTTGATGAAGAGAGCAATAAACATAGTTAAAGACTTGCAGGTAAATAAATTTCTTCCCATGTTATGGAGGGGGAATTATGTGTGATAGCATGTAGTAGGCCTGTACAAGAACTTTCTTTAATCCAGTAATCTGTTATATTTTACATTAGAACGGGATTTACCAGAAAGTCTACACTCTCATCTTCACCCTCAGATCTCCTAGAATCCTAGATCCTCCCTTGGGCCACCCTTATAAAAATATTCTGGCCACGCCTCTGCTAAACTGGGACTGTCCTTTTTCCGACCATTCCTTCAGTCAATTCCACCGCTTGACCTGCAGTGGACGCAACAAACCATCAGATGGCGCCATAGACTTAGATTTTTGCATGAGAAATGTGAATGTACCTCATTTTTTGTTACGTTTAATTTTTTCTTCACGTGCCTGCTTACTTATTTTCTTATCTCTCGTCTTATCCGTTCAGTTTTTCTATCGTAGGCCTTTTCAATATTTCCCCTCCGCGTGCTTTATTTTCACGCCCCGGCTGCTCTCAGACCAGCTGCACCAGACGGCTCTGTGTCTGCGTCTCCAGCTGCGTGGCTCCAGTCCCGCAGGCTGGGTCGGCCATGTTGTAGTGTGGGGGTTGATGGAAGTTTGGTAGTAGGAAGTGGAGAGGAGGCTCCATCTCCCCGGGATACTCCAGGATCCCACTTTTCCTGCTTCCTCTTTGTTTTCCATCAGCTGGCATGCATCTGTAGGATTTTCCCCTCAGTCAGTGGAAGGAAAATGACAGCCCCGTGCAGTGATTTAATCAGCCTTCAGGACTACAACACTTGATTTAAGTTCAAACCAAACTGGATGGATGAGGGGAGGATGAAGGTAGTTCGGTCCCGACTGGAATAACTCGGATTTACTTTGTCCTGGACCCGAATCAAAAAGGGGGAAGTGGGGAATCAGAGTGGAAGACCACACTGCGAGGAGACAGATCTTTAAAGGTAAATGCACAAAGATGTTGATTTGTTTCTTTGTCAGAGGAGGATGATTAAAGCAAGATGGACCAGCTGCTCTGACCTGTCACCAACAAAGGACTGCCAGCTTTCCAGCTTTGATTTTATAAAGACATTCATCATCTATAGGAAAAGACAACGCCTGCATCTGTGAGCTGGAAAATACAGCCATTTAATCTGGAAAATTGCATTTTTTTTTTCCTTTAGTAAAAAATAAAATATTACAAACCTTGACCTCTCATCAGGGAATATAGATATTTAAAAAAAAATAACTTAAAACCCATTTTTAATCCTTTACAACAATGTTCTTTGACCCATATCTTTGGAGTAGAAAGACATAATTTTTTAATCTTGCTTTATTACATTTTGTTACACTTTCTAATACACAATCATGCTGATTCAGACATATAAAGCATCAAGATTATTTTCTTTAAACAGCTTTAGTTTTGTTGCATCACTGTCCACAGAGGGGTTTTTTTTGTGGGTAGACCTCAGTTTCAAGTCACTTCATGAACAGCTTTTTTCAAAACTCTGCCTGAGTGAGTCAGTAGTTTCAACCCTTATAAGGTAGAGTAGGGAGTTCCACTATTTCTAAATCTTCCATGTTTCATCTCTTGCCACATCCTGGCCTGTCTTAAATAGGTCCAAACCTGTAGACTTTCAACCCACTACGTTTTCTATCCCTTTTATAGTGTGTCTTCCCTTGGTGTTAGGTCAGTTTAACTAGGACATCATCAATAGAAGATAGACTCTTAACTAGTGTTGCACCAGTGCCACTTTTTGGCCCCAATACCCAATACCTGGTGGTGCAGTATCGGCCGATACCATACCGATACCATCTGTTTGAAATTTATTTCTATTTGTGTATATATGAAGAACTGCATACTTTTTGGATTTAAAATAATTGCCATCATGGCTTTGTCAAGCTACTTCCTACCTTTGTGAAGTAGGAAAAGGACTAATACAAAGTGAATCCAGTAGGACTTTTTATTGCCGACCTGGAATGAGTGACAATAGTTGAATAAACTTTTGACTCTCAAAATGGTATCGGTGCCCTATTTGTTGGTACTCGCCGATACCGATACCACCATTTTAGTGCTGGATCGGGGCCCCGTCTGATACTGGTATCGGTATCGGAGCAACACTACTTTTAACCTATTTAGTTTTTTTTTTTCTTTTTACAAAGGGCTGGTCATCTGTAAAAGAAAGGTTAACGATCAGTCTATGAGGGTTTCACAGTTTTTAAACCAGTCTATAGCTGAAATAATCAGAAGAGGACAAAGTCCCATGTAATGTTTGGTAGTCGCGATTAAGCTTTACATAATTACATAATGATCAAATGAAGTACAAGTTCACCCCGAAATTGTCTCTATAACCGTTTGTCCACAGGTTGCTCAAATGTGTCGCTCAAGTTGAGTAAATATTTTAAATGTCCCTCATAGAACCAGCTTTGACCTGTCTGTCAAATAGTTGGCTTGCAGTGGTCAGTGGAACTTCATCAGAGCATCTGCATAGTTTAGTAAGTAAGAAAATATTGCTGATAAAAAGGGATGCACAGTACATTATGACTTACACTGGCATTGGCTTAAATTGGTCATTTAAACATATTGTACTTGTTCCTGTAACCAACTTGGCTGATTATATTTAGTAATGTTTGTCTATTTTGTGTACTGTATGTATTTTTGTCTAAATGAAGGGGAAGGTGAAGGGGGTTTGCCATGTGGTATTTGTGAGGGCGTGTGACACTGTATAGTGACACAGCAAAGGGTTGTTGGGTTCATAATTCAAGTAGAGAAGCAATGCCATTGTTGTCTTTGTTTTTCAGCCAAAATAGTAATATTAATACTGGCCCAGCTTTAAATTTTGGTGACTTAATAGCCATTTAAAATTATTGCTGAATATTTGTTTGAATTGGGACTGCACAGTGGAGGCAGTGGGTAGCACTGCTGCCTCGCAGCAAGAAGGTTCCAGGTTATATTCCCGGCCCGGGGTCTTTCTGCATGGAGTTTACATGTTCTCCCTGAGCATGCGTGGGTTCTCTCCGGGTACTCCGGCTTCTTCCTACAGTCCACAAAGGTGTGAGTGTGCATGAGTGGTTGTTTGTCCTGTTTGTCTCTGTGTTGTCCTACGATGGACTGGCGTCCTGTCCACGGTGTACCCCGCCTCTTGCACGTGGACAGCTGGAGATAGGCACCAGCACCCCTCGCAGCCCCACCAGGGATAAGTGTGACGGAAAATGGATGGATGAATGGTTTAAATTAGGGCTGAAACAATTAATCAGATTAATTGTGATTAATCAATTATTGAAATATTTGTCAACTAATTTAGTAATCGTTAACTATATAAAAAAATGTAAAAAAATATATAAACATTTTACAGTTAAGTCTTTCCTCAAGTGGAAAAATATTAGTTTCACTTGGTTTAATTTAGTTAAAAGGCTTCTTTAAGGAACCTTTGGCTTATTTTATGTCAATGCCCTATTTTATGTTCAAGTTAGACTTTGATATTGAGTTAACAAAGGAAAAAGGTGTTTAGTTGTTTTGTTTTGACGTAGCAGACTTCTTGTCAATTTGTGGGACCGCAATCAGTTACAAACGCAACGAAGAATCCACCACCGACACCACATTTAAATTGTATCCGTGACAGCTTTTTCATAAGGAAAACGTGTAATTAAGTGACATTTTAAGTAAATTTGTTCCACTGCATTTTATTTATGTTATAACAAAGCACTACTTTGTGTTGTTACATGACACAATGGCTAAACTTCTGTTTTATAATTAGCTGTTTCAGGTGTCTACTTCTACCATATGCTCTTAATTACACTCTTGTATAGGGAAATGTCTACATTTTATTACAGCGTAAATCATTTTAAATACAATAAGGTACATTATGATATGTTTTTTAGGTTAAAATACACAAATATATTAATAATTATGGGTAAGATCTGACTTTGACCACGCTGTTTTATAAGCAACCGAGCACAGTTGAGGCCCTTTGGGTTAACCCCTCTGGTTTGACCTCAGCTGATGTAGCTGAATTCCTTTTTCCCCAAAAATATCTAGCTTTTATAACCCGGCTGTATTCTTTAATATGTGTTGCCAACAAAGAGTGTATTATTCCATTCATGTTGTCCTTTTATCAGATGATTGGAGATTTCAAAAATACCCTATTTATATATTTTAGTATTCCCATGAGATCTGGTATTCTGGAAATTATGTCTCTATTCTTGGCAGCCAAGCAGCGAAAGTTAGATTGACATCAAGATTTTCTTTGTGTTTTTATTTTTATTTTAATACAAGTCATGCTGTCTGTGGAACTTTTAAAAATGCAAGTGTACAAGTAGAAGGATTGGTAGTTTATATTTCCTAAATCTGCCCTAATCTGATAGGCACACCACGGTAATCTTAATCCAGAACTCTCTAATCAGGATAAATTTCAAAATAAACCATTTAGTGGTTTATTTATACATGGTATTAAAATGAATGTGGCAGCCAGCCTTTGCTGCAGATCTAAACTTCAGCGAGGCTCCACAGATTGCCTTCCTGTCTGCAGTCACAGCTGGGCACGCTCTCAGCCGGGCTGATGGATGGAGGAACTCCGGCATCATGCTTCCTTTCAGCTCGGCTGCTGGGCTGTCATCCAGCCAAATGCCTTGTGATCTAAACCACAGAGGAGAGCCGTCTGTTTGAAACAGCGAAGCTGGTTGTATTTTAGCCTCCGTTTTCCCTTTATTAATATTCTTCAGTATGCTTCCATTATGACTACATCTGTTTATTTGAATTGGTTTATTTTCGGTTGAACTTTAAACTTTGCGGATGTTATAATAGTTTGCTGGTTTAGTGTTCCAGAAGTTTAGGTATTACAAGATATACAGTAAGCATAGTTACTGCACATGAAGCTCCCTAGAAAAAATAAATAAATAAGTGTTTGGCAATAAATCTGATTATATGTCTTTTAAATAGTGCCACATTTGCAAAGAAACTGCATTCTGGGTTGAGTAACAGTTGAGGATGTGGATTTCATACCTAGTCATCTCTGCCAAGACTAAACAGCTTTTGGTGGAGGTAGCGTGATGGTATGGGAGAAGTTTCCCTCACAAACTTAAACAAGATGGATCAAGATTAGAGACAGTCGAAGTGAAGAAATGGGGATCTGCCAGGCTGTTATAACTGCACACAATTGTCCAGCAACATTGAGTCCCCTCTGCTAAGTTAATATAATATTTAAACTGCAAACACGTCTTTTTTCACTTTTAAAATACCAATCATTGGTAGAATAACTAGTGTTACGGCTCATAGACTCAACTCTGCTGCTCAAATTTCCCAATGTTGCACCAAAAGTTACATTTAGAAAGCACTGGCTTTCGATTTACTGTGCGATTTACATTTATATGTTGCAGGAAGTGGGCAAACACTTTTTCTACCAGTATCAACACTATTGTCATAGATTATTTCCTTGTCTCAAAGGTTTTAAACCACTGCCTTAAAGGTATAGTGGAGGATTTGCGCGAATGTTTTAAAAGACCCGCCCTTTCCCCTTTAAGAAAAAGTGCACATGCACAACCCTCTACTCACTCCCGCACCGCATCGCTCAGACAAGCTTAGTTTCCAAAAGAATATTTGCAATTTTTTTACTATGTCAGAATGATTGACAATTAAGAGGATCACTTATTTTGATGATCCACTCGGAAAAGGAACATCCTCCACATACCTTTAAGACTTTATATTCTTTGAAAGTAGAGTTTATAAATACTTCTGAAGATCAAGGTTTCTTATTTCCCTGCTTTTTTATTCTTTTTTATACCTATATTTGACACATTAAGAATTTATGTTTTTGCTTGCTAAGCATAAATCTGAGCTATGAATTAAGAAGTAAAAACAAAAAAGACCCCTAAAGATAGATCCCTAATATCCTTTTTAAAAAAACAAATCCTAAAGATTGGAGTTTGACACCAGAAGGACTATATTATCTCTAAAGAGCTGTTTTTA